TCCCCGCCCCGGCCCGGCTCCAGGCTCGGCGGGTCGCGGGGATCCGTGGGTCCCGCTGTGCGCCGCTGGCACCCACCGGCCCTGCTCCCTCCCTCCCACCCTCCCCCCGGGGGCCAGGCGCTCGGTGGAACGCGGGACGGAGGGGCCCCGGCCGGGGGGGGAAGCGGCCGCGCGACAAAGTACCCAGCCCGAGGGCCGGCGGCCGCGTCACAGCCTCGTCTGCGTCCGGGGCCGGTCCTTAAAGGGGAGGGTCGGAGGGGGCAGGGCTTGGGGAGGCGGGACGGAGCTGGGGAGGCGTGGACGTGGGGGAGGGGCTGGCCTTAAAGGGGAGGACGCGAGGCTTCCGGAGCGTGAAGGGCCAAAGCTGGGGACTGGGGCTGGGGACAAGGAGCGCGGACCGAGAAATCTTAGTTCTTAAATAATCAGGGCCACGGAAAGGGAAAGGGGAGGCGTATGAAAGTAGCTGCATAATCAGATAGATAAGCCACTTTTCTCCAATTGTCTGGCTCTTTTAGAGAGCAGCAGCTGAGGGTGTATTTCGAAGGGGGGGATGACTAGCAAGTATGAGCCAGATGAGACGTCCGGGGTGACCTGGAATTACAGAGGCCACTCATTCTCGGAATAGGGTGAGGCAAATATGGAATATTTTAACTTGAACACTTTCCTCTGAGTTTTGCATTTCTTTTCTCACAAATTCGTTGCACCTCTCCCAGTGGAAAGAATAGGGTGTGGAGAGAATTCCCTGAGACAATGTACCAAAAAGGGAAGGTCTGGGGAATAGGTCCTGATTCCCAATGTGGAAAAGTTAAGCCCTGAACCTACAGCCATAAGAAATGGGTATTTTTGAAGAAGCCAAGTTCTAGTCCAATTTAGCCCCCTGTCTTTGAGGAAGATACTAAGGATCTAGCTGGACCTAAGCATAGCCCAGATCATGGGAGGAGATCGGGGGGCCCTAAATTTAAGCTGCCAGAGGGTCTCGATACATATTCTGATGGGGTTTTGGGGATGATCATGAAATAAATTCCTGCTGACCTCCTCCCCACTCTGACTAGTAAAACAGCTCAGAAATAAGACAAGGAGCCAGAGGTGAAGACAAAACCTCAGCTTAATTACTGATAAGGCCGAATTAGAGAACGTGAGTTTACCTGTGGCCACACGTGGCCCCTAACATGTTCCCCCAACAATCTAGAGCCCTCTTGTACAGGGAGACCTAGCTCAGGGAGAAGCAGAGGAGGGAACATCCTAAGGAGAGGTGCCCTGGGGACTGAGGCCAGGCAAGGATGGAGTGAAGGGTAGCCTGAAAGGTAGAAGTTACCCTCCCAGCAGAGTCCCTTCCTGGGACTCACTCCAGGGCCCACTCCATGGACCAAGGAGAAATATGATTCCCCTAACACAAATACTCGCTCTTTCTGAGCACAGTTAATTTAGTGTACACCTTGACGTTGTGCAAGGTGCCGTGCTCAGGCCTGCAGTGGTGGATGGTGTTGATCTGTGGGGCAGAAGAGAGGTACAAGCAGACAGCATCAAGAGAGTGGCACTGACACAAGTCTGGGAGGTGAGGGCAGAGGGATTCTCCTCTGCAATAGCAGGTGGTGGAAGCTCTCCTCTCATGCTAGAGGGTGGATAAGTTAGACAGTTCCCCACTCCTCTGACTCCTCAGAGATGAAGACAGCCTACGGCCACAGAGATTGGAAAACACCTCACCCGTTCTGCAGCACTACTATCACTTCCCTGAGGCGCACAAGGGAGAAGCCCAAGGACTGAGAGAAGGACGCAGGGATGGGGAGGTGGAAGCATCTGCTCCTTGCTTCTCATCTCAGCTGGGCTGGGGCTGCGCAGGGCTGGGAGTTTGTCTTTTTTCCTCTGCAGAGGGTCACCGGTGGCTTCCTACTGCCTGGTACTGAGTTTTCACCTGCTTCCCTCCACAAGGCTAGAAAGAGGATAAGCTCTTTTTGCCCTTTCAGAGACAGAAGGCACAGCGGAAAGAGAACAGAATTTAGAGACAAATGAACCTGAGTTCAAGTCTCTCCTCTTTGTATCTGAAAAAAAGGAGAAAATAATAAAATCGAATATCAGGGCTGAGTGAGAATTAAATGAGGTAGTGTTCATGAGAACTCCCCAAAAGCTAGAAATGATCATGAAATAGCAAATCTTATCATGACTGAGGCATTGCTGGCTTGCTCCTCTGCTCTGTGCCCACTGCCTGGGGATCTGCCCCTGATATCAAAGCTGCCTTCCTGTCTAGCTGGGACTCTGGGGAGATGCTGCAGCCCAGTGACGGAATAACTAGACAACTGAAACCACAGCTGGGGCTTCCTTCTGGAATTACAAGGACCAGTTAGGCTCAGGGGGCACACAGGGACTCAGTACACAGAGATTACAGAAGCTGCACACACAGCACCCAGAAAACATATACATATATCAACACAAAGACATAAGTGCAATGTGCCTGGCATGTAACAGACACGAAATAAATGTCTAATGGATGGATAATAACTGGGGAGTGAGATGGGCTAAAGGAAGAACCTAAGATGGGCAAGAGATCCAGAGTCTTAAGTTCCATTCCAGTCCTAACTAACTATGTAACCTCATGCAAGTCCCACGCCCTCTCAGTTCCCTCTTTCTCATCTGTCCAACAGTGATGTTAACATCTGTCCTGCCTCCCTTGTAGAGCTATTGTAAGAATAAAATAAAATATTTTTCCTTAGGACATGGAAGTCCAAAGTCCTATTTGTATAATACCAAGCTCTCAACCATCTGTAATGAACTACTTAAACAATTTTTATGGATATGTAGATGCACTTCAAAAGTTAAAAGTCTATGCAAATAGAAAGTACTATTTTTGTCTACTATTGACATGCAAACACATATGCCATGAATACTGTACACACAAAGACAATTTAAAGACCTCAGGTACATAGAATTTGGTTAATTATAATCCTCCTCATCATTGAATCATTGGTCCATCTCTGCTTTTATTTAATTAGTTATTAGTTTGGTTGTTTTGTTTGGTTTGGGGCGGGTTTTTTGGCTGCGTCTTGCAGGGATCTTAGTTCCCTGACCAGGGATTGAACCCAGGCCATGGCAGTGAAAGTGCCAAGTCCTAACCACTGGACCACCAGGAAAGTCCTTAGTTGTTTTTAATAATGCAGTAGGCACCTGTGAATCCACTACCCAAAATGAAAACTAGCACTTTGACAGTAGCATACATCTAACTAGGTGGTTCCTCCATTCTTCCCCAACCCACCTCTGTTTTCTCTGGCCAAGATAACCATTATCTTGAATCCTAGGTTCATTATTCCTTTGCTTTCCTTTTATGTAGTTTTATTTCATAAGGACACATAAAGGTGTCTGACCTTCATAAAAGGTGAAGCTCATAGTGTCTTAAAAGGGAGGTGGTTAGGGTTCCCCGGTGGCGCAGTGGTTGAGAGTCCGCCTGCCGATGCAGGGGACACGGGTTCGTGCCCCGGTCCGGGAAGATCCCACATGCCACGGAGCGGCTGGGCCCGTGAGCCATGGCCGCTGAGCCTGCGCGTCCGGAGCCTGTGCTCCGCAACGGGAGAGGCCACAGCGGTGAGAGGCCCGCGTACCGAAAAAAAAAAAAAAAAAGTGAGGTGGATAATGGGTGACTTTATCAGAAAGATGAGGTTAAAATAAGGATATGCCTTGTCATAATTTCAGAGTATTCCCCACCTCCTCATGATGATGGTGACGATGATGACAATGATGGCGATTATTGAGTGCTTACTCTATACCCAACACTGTGCTCAGCCTGCCATTGTCTCATTTAAATCTCATGAGGGTCTGTGGTAGAGATTGCTGGTTGTTTCCGCCAGTATCCATTTCCCCCTCTTTGATAGTAAATAATCTTCAGTATTTAGCTAAGCACATGACTGCCCGGAATAAAAACTACATTTCTCAGCCTCCATTACAGCTGTCTGTGTTCATGATTTGTAAATGGAAACTGTTGAGTAAAGACGTAAGTCCTCCGCCTTCTCGTCCTCTTTTCTCCTTCCTGGTAGCTGGAATAAAAATGTAATGGCTGGAGGAACTTCCCTGGTGGTCCAGTGGTTAAGAATCCATCTTGCGATGCAGGGGACGCCAGTTCAATCCCTGGTTGGGGAACTAAGATCTCACGTGCCTCAGGGCATTACTAAGCCCATGTGCCACAACTACTAAGCCCATGCGCCACAACTACTGAGCCCAAGCTCTGGAGCCCTCGCGCACCACAAGTAGAGAGAATCCCGAGCACTGCAGTGAAGAGCCCATGTGCAGCAACTAAGGCCCAATGCAGTCAATAAATAAATATATATATATATTTTTTTATGTAATGGCTGGAGCTTGAGCAGCCATCTTGAATCATTAATTGGAGGCCACAGGTTGAGGATGACAGAGCAAAAGGATAGAAAGAGTCTATGTCCTTCTATCCATGGAGTATGGATAGAAGATGGAGACTGGATCCATCGTATCAGCCCTAAACAACTTACCCAGCCTTTATATGAAATAGAAATAAATGTCCTTCTTATTACAGCAACTGATGTTCTAAGTTTTCTATCACTCACATCCAAATCCCATTCTAACTATTATACAACCCTATGAGATACGTACTGTTATCCTCATTTATCTATTTTAAAAATGAGGAAACTTAGTCCTAGAGAAATTGAATAACTTTCCTAGGGGTACATAGTTAACAAAGCACAGAATCCAGGTCTTTCTGACCCAAAGTCCATTTTCATGGCCCCCACTCTAAATCCTAAGCAGACATACACCCACATATCCTTCTTGATGTCCGAAATATGGTATCTTGCCATTTTGGGGCAGGAATGACCTAAAGAGGTATGGCCTATACTT